ATGGCCAAGAAGGAATAAGGAGGTCACTGAAAAGACACCCAGAAAGAACATTACAGAAAGGCTGCAGTATCTGTGAGGCTCGGGGTTGATCAATGACACAAACCGTTCAACAAGTCAGATCAGTCTTTGAAGAAAGGAAGAGAGAAAGATAGTATTTTGTACAGGAGACAGCAATCAGAACCATGTCATTTTTTCCAAATACAGGCCTTGGGAAATGTGACACAGCCGGAAAAAAAGTGCTTCACAACTATGTTAATTTTCTGGGAATGCCTTTTTTTTCCTCCAGAGTATTAGGTAAGATGGGTCCACTTTTAAGACTCTCACCTTAGAGTATATGGCTTACCCCTTCTCCATCTCTCTGCCACTCAAGCTACCTACTACAGCAATCTCTCCTCTGAGAAGAGCTTGTGAAGGACCCACAACGCTTTACCGCCTCTTGGCTTCATTTACAGTAGCCTTTCCAGAGAGAGAGATACAGCTTTCTCTCCTTCCCAAAGCTCATGGCTGCCTTTACAGAGACTGGGCCCAACAAGCGAGAAGGCAAACATGAGACAACGTGACTGCTAGTCTCACCTTTAAAACTGGTACTTTAAAAAAACAGCTCTTCACTCATAAGTTATATTCAAGAAACCAGTCAAGAGAGAAAAGGCTACTCGGATTCTACACCTAAATCTAAGCAGCACAGCAGTAGCAGATGGTGCACAAGCACAGCTTTGTTTATGTTTCAAGACCTACTGTACACTTAGTGTAGCATTTGTTGATTTTAATTACTCAAAACTGAAAAGAATGACTTCAAAAACAAGAGACTTTGATATGACCATGATAAGATTTGCTAAAACAAGTTTCAAAATTTTTAGATATATTTCCTATCACAGACAGTAGCGTAGACTATGAAAACATTACACTTATGTTTCATAAAAAGATGATTGTGCTGAATAATTCTGCTCTGGCCACAGCACTAGATTTTAGACTAGGGAAATTCACATTCAAGTTTTAAATCCACTTACAAATGATTGATTAGCAAAAATGTAACGAGCTATGAAAGAGAACTAAGAGTGCCATTTATTGATAATGTTTATGGTCTCGGTAATGAAATCACCCACTCTGAAATAAATTCTATAAGGCTGGTCATTCTGACCCCAAGATTATAGGTATTTATAGCACACTGGAGAAAGGGAAAAATTATAGAAGGCAGGGCTAAAGTAATCACCACTTAAAAACACATATATGATACTGGAAGCTCAAATGAGGAGAAGTACTTTAGGCCTCATGAACGCTCCATTCTCCTCCTCCTTTCTGATCATAAGCCACAAACATACTTTAAAATGTCATAAACAAACATCAAACACTTACATTCCCATTCTGAAAGAAGGGTAATGTACTAACTGGCCAGCTCACAGGAGTTGGTGGGGTCTCTGAAATTTCACACTTCGGGTCTCTTGCAACCATCATCCTAACAGAGTTCCCACAGTTCCTCAGCACTTGGGCAACTTGTTCACTGGTCATTCCTTGAACATTGGTCCCGCCAATCTGTAAGATGTGATCTCCTGTCCGGAGCCTCCCATCCTTCAAACATAAACAAAATTGCAAAAAAATATTTCCAGTCTGTAAAAAAACCAGCTCTTTAACATTACAAAATCGATACTGTGTACAGGCATCTTCATGGCCAGGTCAGCCAATGCATGCAAATACCATATAATTAACCAGCACTGCAACATAAATAATTCAAGGAAGTGCTTGCACAATTGAGGACACTTTTTTTCTACAGTTGTTAACAGTGGTACATCAACCTTTTAAATACCAAGCAAGATGAACAGGTTGAATAGTACTACTCCTAAGCAAGTGGTTATGTTTCTCAGTAGAAAAAAGAAAAAAAAAAAAAAAAAGACCAACAGTGTTTTATAATCTCACAGTCTGTTAGGTATTGCTGTTTCATACAATAATCCTCACGGAACAGAGGTCCGAATAGGAAGCCCAGCATTTTGATTTTGGACTCTTTAGGGAACCTCCTAATACTTGTGTATCAACCTTGCAATTCTTTTCTCATATGACCAGCTGCTACTCAAGAGAGTAATTCCACTGAAGGTAACAAGACTCCACACACACAAACCATTTTTACATGATAATTAAGATTCATACATCATTATTTCTATTATAAGCAAGCATTCATGGGACCAAATCTTCAGCTGGTATTGATCAGCACAGCTGCACCATCTTAGGCACACTGATTTACACAGCAGTCATAGTGGTGTTATTCCTAAGACTAAACCCAAACTCATCCAACTTTTAACATACATATATATATATGGATGCTTATTATTTCATGTTTTTAATGATCTCTCATTCAGCTGAGAATGATGTGCAAGTTCTTAACTTACACGTGTCATTTGTAGCCAGAGCACTTTATTCCTTACAGTAAAACAGGTGTTACACAATAATTAAGAGACGCTTATTTATACATGACAGGTTCAGAGAGAAGCAGTTAAGCAAAAGCTAATATTTTCCAATAAAGCTCTTTGAATCTCCAGTTTTCATTTCTGTTCCATACTAAAAAAGTCTTAGGCTGCCTCTTTTTGTACGTTACTAGATCTTGTTTGCATACTTAGGGTTCCAGACCTCAAATGTCACAACATGTTGTGACCAAATTCACATTAAAATCCAAATTCTGTTTGCTATTCACGTGTGCTACTCCAGAGATGCGGCAACAGGCAGCACTGGGTCTTTGAAGACCAGCAAACCAAGGCTGCAAACCGTACCCGTGCAACTTTAAAATAGATACCACTACCTTCAAAAGGCTTACACTGATCCCAAGCATCAACTTGAACTGCTCAGATGGCGAGACACAGGCCTTAATCCCTTTAAAACCAAAACCGGGATAAAGACAGGACATTTTTAATCTGTGCACTGAATCTTGCAACACAATTACTTCAATGGCACAGATTCTCTTGCCTGAGAATTGCTTCCAGAGTTTGTCCTTACAGATGTTGCCAAATGTATCAAGTTTTACAGAGAATATGCAAAACCATTAGGAGTGTTTGTCCCCCCAGACTGACCACAGGTTGAAAGTATTGAGAGTATTAGAAAGTTGGACAACTTTTCAAAATTTCTGGATTTTCTACAACGTTAGAAAAGCCAAAACACGTCTGAGAAACAACTTAACGCACATCGGGTAATGACTTTTTCCTCAATCATACCTTTAACATATTTATTTGTAGTGTACGCACTGGCATTCAGACTCCAATGCTACCAGCTCCCTTTTGTTTAAGTATATTAGTTTATTTAAGACAGTCAAAAGCAGTTAATTATACTTTACAATCAAACAAGAAGCGACATAACATAACAAATTACCCGATCTGCCAATCCCCCAGGAACAATCGTTCTTACAACCACACCACTCGACCTTCCTCCTACAATTCCAAAGCCTAATCCCGAACCGTCGTTTATCAGCTCAACATCTTCAACGTGGCCCCAATGAATCTGCAATTAATAAAAACAGGAGATTTTAATTGCAGTTGATCTTTAATGTTTCTCACTTTTACATGTAGTGGGAACGCGGAGAATTAATCAAAACAATTTTCTGTCTCTCTCTGCTCCATATATTGGAGATGGACTGGATTTTGGTCAGCCCACTTAATTTCCTAATAAAAACTCAATGGGATTTCTCATCTGGTTTTTAACATACATTTTGTCCTTTACTTTCATAACAGGACACTAAGAAAAAGCAATTCTAAGATTTTCTTGCCAAAAAGAAAACTATCATTTCATTTTCTCATAAATCAGGAAAGGAGGAAAAAGTGGAGGAATGAAGCTCACATTGGCCTAGCTTCCATTTACTGTTGCCCAGCTTCTTATTTCTGTTATTTCACTTATACTCTAAACACCCTAAACGCTAGTACACGCTGAATTAACAGCGCAATACAAAGTTTTGCCATACTGAACTGGAAGCAGGTATCCAAGCTACATTGTATCATGACCTTGTGTTCTGCAAGACAATCTCAAAATAACAAAGCTGTTAAGCAACCCAAATGCAGCCAATGTTGCTGTCAGATTAATATCTCATAGAAACCAAAATGGAGCAAAGTAGGCAGATTTAAGTCTTCTGTGAATAAAGGATTTATTAGCATACTGAAAATCTTTGCCAAAGCCAGTTAAATATCATAAAAGAAGTTTAAAGACCCCCTGTAGAGATATATATTTGTATTTTATTTTGTTAGTCTGTTCAGTGCAGAACTTTCAATGAAAAAGCAGTTAAAGTTTAATTCTTTAAAATTTTCAGCGCAATAAACAATATTGATTATCCACTAAAACCTTCAGATTTCACTAGCTCTGTAATAATCATGAGGGAAATAATTACTGAGAATCAGAAAAAGCAGTACTCTTAACCAGATTTTCATGAAAACCTACTGGCATAATAAATTAAGATTCCAATATTGCAAACCCTGGATTAAGGTGTGCAGTTCAACCAAATTCAGGGAAGCCATCTGGATCATATGGTTTGAACACAGACACAAGTTTAGCCCTAGCTTATTATAGCTCCAAGTGACAACTGCTCCTTGTTCAAAAAACGAAAAGGGTTCACAATGAAATTTGCAGATTCAAAAAAAAAAAAAAAAAAGATAAACAGGAATTCAGAGATTCCCTTAACAGACTTTTTTTTTTTTTTTAAACAAAGACAAAGCTTTCTGTTTTGAGCAAATCAAGTTTTAATAGGCTGGGATATTTCAAGCAGTGCTCAAGATAGGCTATGTTTACCCTCTTTTAAGATGTAATCAGAGCAACATCTTTAATTGCTGAGCACAAGAAAGTTTCAGCTGGGTATAGTCATAAATCACTTTACTCAGCCTATGTTGAACAGGCCCTGCTGCTAAAAATACGTTGATCTACTAAAGCTTCTGCTAGCCCATAGAAACCCAGGATCTATTTTATAACAACTTCATGCAGCTTTGCAATGGAAGTATTCTACTTATGGCATGATCAGTCTCAATCAAATGCCATCACATATAAAACCTGATTAAAAAAAAAGAAGAAAAAAAGAAGTAAAACTAGCTAACAAACAGTTACAACTATAAAAAGAGTCCATCATAGTTCAAAACCTGGTTTTCACCGTATTGCAACAACTCACAGTCTCAGGTGGATTTATATCACTTGGTAAGACAGCTGAAGTTCTGCTGTTTCCTTGAACTGGCTCCCTAGCAACAACCAGATGTAAAGATCCTGTGGATTGTTGGAGGAGCGCAATAGCGTGCTGATGGGAAATGTTCTGATCCAATGGGGTGCAATTAATGGCCAGTATGTGGTCATTTTCCTTTAGTCTTTGATCCCTTAACAAAACATTAAAAGAAATTTTAAAATGCAGCACAGTATCTTCATAACAGGCTTGTGTAATCTAAATAGGAACATGCAAAGTATACCGTTATGCAAGGTTAAATGATTTATATAAAGCAAAATCTTTTTATTAGACTGTCTTCACCAATAGAAAAATTACATGTCATCCACACTGTACCGAAAAGACCAACCAAATCAAATTTTGTTGCAACACTGCCACGGTATACTAGTTTGCTAGATTTCTTCCTTTGCTTCTATTCAAAATACAGTGAAATTCCTCATTCTTTCTTGATTAGGTTGAGTTACAGGGCAGAAAATTCAGTTTTTGCAGTTATATAATTCTTCATTACTGTCCGCACTATGTGACACTATCTCCAAGTATCCAAAACTCAGGCTATGATATTGTTTCATTATCATTATTTAACCTCAAGATATTTATATTGTACTCAAACAGAATTTACAGTATCAAACTTCAGACATCAAACTTTCTTCAGGCAATAGAACAGCTCAGCTTACATTATACCTATAGAATAAATAGCATACTATAATAGTATAAATCTCGCAGTTAATTCACCCTAGCAATGAATTTAGACTTTTGACAAGAGACAAACAATCATTCATCTGCTTTGTTCAATATTCATTCTGAGCACGAGACCAAACTGTTACTTAGACAGACACTGCCTTCAAAGCTCTGTAGGAATCCAAAAAAGTCTCCAGGAGATCTTGCCTCAGAAGGAAAATGGGAAGCATGCTGGGGAAACTTATAAAAACCTCAAACAATATAACTGCACATCTTAACTAACACATTTTAAACTTAATTTTTATCATGCAATATTTAAGATCTTTCCCTGAAACCTCTTTTTTTCAGGCACTAACCATATTTTAGATTCCCTCATCAAAGAAAGCGAGCAGCAGGTCATCAAATCCTAACGTGAGATATTCACCCTCCTTTGACATCCGGATCAGTCCATCTGTCTCTGCTTTGAAAGAGCCTAATATGCTTTTCTTTAAGTGCTCTATGGTGTGTTCTCTGTGGGCCCATAGCCATTATCATTCCAACCTCTCCCCACTCTTTTTGTCATCCTGTGTTGGCACTTCCTGACATGTGTTATTTAAAAAGTGACACCAGTGACTTGAAATCTAGACACATTTTCTTCAAACATAATTCCAAGCACTGTATTTGTCTCATGCCAACTCTTGTGGTTTTACAACCACATTTTATTTTTAAAGGATTGCTCTGTCTTTTGTTGTTGGGCTAAAACCCACAGACAATACGGGGGAATACTGCCTGAAGCCTTGATTCTATGATGACATCTGTTCAGGGATTTGTCAGGAGGACTGGATCTAAATTTACACAGGAAAAACAGTAAATCCAACTATAAATAAAGTATTGTCATATGCACATAAATAAAGAAACAAGGGGGAAAAAATACTCCAGGTATACAATGGATAACAGTCTAACAGAGGCTAATTTTATTTTCCTCGTACTCTTTTGTGAGTTTTCTTTGTTTTGTAATCAGTACTCAAGATTCTCTTAAGTGATTCCTGGAAATTCCATTTATGAGTGTCTAGGATATTTAAAACTCATCTGAAAATCTGGTCCCTGAAACATGAGCTCATTTAGTTGAATAGCCAGAACTCAAGCTACCTCCCACAAAATATCCCACCTGATAACCCAGACAAAGATGTTTGTCTGATGAGGTTTTCAATATGAAAATCATGGCTTATCTCTTCATAGAAATACTGCAACTTTAAAATACTACTGTAAAAATCTCACCTGTCAGCTATGCCTCCTGGCTGGACTTCCTTGACAAAGATACCAACTTCTCCCAAGCTGTGTTTCTTAAGGGCAACCACACTAAATCCAAGACCTCCAACAGAAGGCTTTTCTATCTTTATTGATTCTATTTGTCTGCCCTAGTAAAAAAAAGAGAAAAAAGATTTACTAATTTTTAATGCAATAGAATGAGCTAGTTTAAAATTTACGAACCCCACGAGAATTATTCTCCTCCTAAGACTAAACAAAGGCAAAATACTGAATATGTTATTTCTATAAAAGCTCCTCCATTTATTATTTTTAATATAACAGAGTATTGGATATGCAAGCACTCTGAGGTTCTGAAACCTCAGGGAATTTAAGAGCTGCTTTCACACTTCATTCACATTATGAGATGAATTCCAAACTGGATGAAAACTAGGAACAAAGTGCTGTCTAGAGCAATATATTTGGGATTTCTGGAAATACTGCACAGCTAAACTAAATTACTTGTCTTTGGCTCCTTCTGCTTTTAGCGCTGATTTTTAGGTTCATGTTCAAAAGACTGCAGCTTTTAAATAAAGAAATTAATTTCCTTCCCCTCTCTACCATTTCACACTTGATGCTAAAAACATTTGCTTTTCCAACTACCTTTTCAGTTCTAACACAAAATTTCTGGGGTTGTTTACTGGGAAGTATTACTTAGAGAAAGCACTTATATCACAGCTGTTTTATCCAAAATAATGTGCAGTCTTTACCACTAAATCTTTTATTAGATTAGTTAATGACACACTAATGAGAAGAGTTATGCTCAAAATATTACAGTTACATTAAGGTAGTCAATTAGCAACAGTTACTTAATATAGAAAGGCACGACTAACCAATTAAATTAATGGTTCAAAGTAACACAGAACAATACATTCATGGTATAAATGCCAATCCCACACGGGTGAAATGTCTGCACCTGTATAACTCTCCATAAGCATCTGGTACATGCTGCATCTCAAGCTAATGAAATCAGCATCTGTCTGGTGAAGTTAAGAGAAATTAAATGAAGAGTTAAATAAAATATTAAATGCTGGTTCTTTTAATCGTTTGCACTGTTCAGGTATCAACAAAGCCGGTAAGTTTCCAATTCAAAATGTACCTGATGAAAGAGCCTTTTTTCATCCAAGCAAGTTTCCGCAGAAAACGTCCATTTTCAGTCAAGTGTCATCAAATGCCAAAAATGTTTTCTGGAAACTGAAATTTCTTTTCTACATAGGTGTGTTTGACAGAAAGTTAAAAAAACTGGCAAAGAAAAAATTTTCTGTTTTTGACGGTATCTTTCACAGGGAAAAGTTATCCTCAGCAGCTCTAAACTCTTACTGGCTAGGAGGCAACACACTCAGATACACAACAGAAGAGTGTGTTTGGCAATGTACTCCAAAGGCACGCACAAAGTTTGACATTAAAGGAAAATAAGTTTGGTGCACTGAACTAGAGAGCCTTACCTTTGCCATCTGTTGGATGATTGTGTTAAATTCATTAACTCCTAGGCTTGGAATGAAAGTAGATGCTCCTGGTTCAGGCGAATTACTAGGCGCACACAAGCTCCCATTAGCAACTGATTCGTCAGCAAACACTAGTAGCCCTCTCTTAGTAAAATCAAAATCCACTAAACGGTCTGGAGGTATATAATTAAGCTGTTGAAAATGAACAAAGATATAGTAAAACTACTAAAAACACAAGAACAGATTTCCACATATAGGACCCATTGCGAAGATGCTTTAAAAAATTTAATAAAATCAAAATTTTCTAGTTATGAACATTCTGAACATAAATTCCATTATGCCATGGCTATAAAATATCATCTTAGATTTATTTGCTTTTTCATAGTGGTTTTTTTTTAATAGCTTGCAGTAGCATGCATCCAAGTTTTGCAAGGAAGGAGCAGGAACAGATACAGCAACGGTGTGAACAAGGGAAGAAGGGAGAATGAATGGCACAGCCACTGCCATGCCACGCACATAGGAACACACGCAATACGTTTGGAAATGACGGCAAGGTGGCCTCATCCCCCTGAGATCTGCCCCACTATATTGCAGCTGGGCAGGTGCATATTTGCAGCAGGCAGAGATCGCTGCTGCTTATAGTATGCCACGCTAGTCCCCGATTTCAAGTTTGCATTCCTGACAGCTAATTGCATGATGAGAACTGTTCATACAGATGTGTCATCGATCCTTGTGTCCACAAGATCCAAGTGCCAGATGGCATTATAAACCAATCCACACAAGTCCCTTCTGCTGCTGGAGCTAACTCATTTAAAGCTAGCTTGGGTATGTCTACATCAGTGCTTGGCAAAACTTCAAGGGTGGTTTTCTAGATTTTATTTCCCAAAGCAGGTTAACCATGCTTGTACAAGCCAGCAGGAACCAAGTGATGCTGTCTTTTAAAGAGGCAAGATGCTGCCAGTCAGTTGACAAACAGCATTTAGCTTCTGGGAAAAACAAAAGGTCTCTGTTCCCACTGTGTTCAGAACTCAGAGTACTGGAGTTGATGCCTTTTGCAGATGCCTGTCTCAGACTGATGTAGTTCTCAACTGCTGCCTCTTCTGCATACCTTTCAAAGCATGCTGCCCCCATGACTACAGTATGTTGCAATACCTCTTCTCATTTCAGTAGGGACTGTGCGGATACCGACTTGACCAAAAAAAAGACAACGTTCAATCACACCAAGTTACAGCTTATTAATGACAGTGTCTTCATTAACACCCACCCACATGCTCTGTTTTAAGTTCCAAGTTAAATATAGTTATCTTCACACCAACAATTGTTATTTTACACTCACTTGTTCCTTCAGTTGCTTGATGGATTGCTGGAGAGTCAGAATCTGATTAAACAAAGGGCTCCTGAGTGTGTTACGCAAAACAGTCAGGTTTTCGTTATGTGGAGCATCTCTTTTTTCATGGAGTTTTGCTTGCAGACGATCAAGAATCTGCAGCACCTGCTGTTTATCTGCACCCCAAAGTAGTACATGTTAGGAATGGAGTTCCATTTCTCACTGCTCAGCAAAAGTAATCATTTTCAGACTACATACCTGCTGCAGGATTTTCAGGCATGCTGAAGGATATTCTTGGAATTACTCAGAATAACCTAGATGAAATTGAAAAAATTAAAGGAAGAATGAATTAAATTGTATCTCTGATCAGAATGCTAACAGGTAAGAAGTCAATAAATACACTACTTTCTTGATTTCATTTTATTCTATGCTAGTAAAATGCTAAGTTGCCTATAAAAAAATTAATAAAAAAATACTACTCTTCCCCTTTGTTTAGTGAGTATTCGATACAGCTTTCAATACAGCCAGTTGCACTGTGACCTCAGCAAAGAATAAAATATTTCTCCCTGTTCTGTGTGTTTTTTCTTTCATACACAGAAAGAAAGATGAACATCTCTTTAAAAGAACGGGGAAGAATGAAGATTATGAAACCAAACATTGGCCAAGGAAACCGCATGGCAGCTATGTTCAGTCAAATTATTTTATATACGGACAATTATACTATATAATAATGTGATCTTTTCAAACATATGCAGAAAAAATCCTCCTACTGTTTAAAAGATACTTTACTCCTGTTTAGTTATTTGTAGACAGTATCCTTATCGCTATAAGCTTACTCTTGCAACAGGGCAATATAGGTGAAAACTTACATCCTTCTAAAAAAAAACATTCCATAAAGCCGTAGAGTTGATTCCACATACAAGGTAGCATAGCATTAAGACCTAAAATTAGTCAAATCAATTCCTAATCCAACACCTTCTTAAGCAATCTCCGTTCTAACCCCAGCCTCCGTGCTGACCTGATGAACAGGTAAGAGAAACGCTTTCCCTTCCCTGTTACATGCGCCAGCCTTTGTCCCTTCTATTTACACGATAAGCTTTGAAGGAACAGAATATCCTTTATCATGTTCCTCTACAGTGCCAAACAAAAAAGGTCCCCAGCTGTGGTTGAGGCTTAGATGACAGTATAAAAACAACTGACTTGCAATTAGCAGTTATGATAAATGTGTACCCTTACGTGCATGTTATTACCTTGATGCAGAGCCTGTCATCTTGAAATCTGTCAAAGCAGTCAAATCAAAACACACGCAAGATTTCTTCACTCAGTACAAGCTGCTCTGAACATAGTCAACTATTTAACAGCACAATTCACCTAATTTCAACCCTACCCAGTATATAATTATGTAATCTCAAAATAATATATTTTAATTTTTTTAATCTTTCAATTCGAGAGGAAAAATGGTCATATGTATTCGAATGCAATATAATGGTAAGCATATGCCAGAGGTCCCCTCCCAGGAGAGCCCCTGCTTCTCTCAGCTCTGCTTCTGGTACTCGTTGTGCTTGGACTGAGAAAGTCTGAGTTCTGTGAGGACACTGGTATGTTCAAGGTAATGTTAATTATGCAGGTGAAAACAGGGTAATACAATAGCTTCTCTTCTCCCAAAAGAGTCAGATTAAGCTGTTTTAAACTAACGTTAAAAAAAAAAAAAAAAAAAAAGGTGTGTTACAAACCACAATTCTAGATTTATGCAACCTTTACTGTATCTGAGCAGTTCTGGCTCTTAGAAAAATTTGTGCAGAACTCAAGAGGGTTTGCGTGGTTTCCACTTGGGGCCAAGCAAAATGAGTCGCCCTGCAAGACTATTAACAGATTTAGGAGGTCATTTTAAATCAAATTCATAGCAAGAGTTGATATGGCAAACCCATACAACCCCGAAAGATTTTCAGGAATGCATCTGAACTTTTGCAAGCACTGCAACTTTATTTTCTTTTCCATTTGAAATAAAACACTTCTAAGAGCACAGCAGCCTTTGATTCTATGCTGAGATCTGATTCTGAAGAACAGATGAAAATACCATTTCCTTATACATTCCAGGGTCTTCATCTAAGCAAAAAAGGCAAAACTTAACCTCCTTGACTAAAAATATTGTATGAATCTTAACAAAACAGGACAAAGACTATGAAAATAATTTCTTTCAAATTCTACTTCCCTCCATTCATTTCCCTTCTTTTTTTCTCCTACCTACTCACATCAGCAGTTAAAAAAGGAAAAACCCCTAAAGCAGGCATACCTACATCAGAAAGAGATGCCAAATAACTCCTATGAGGAAAAGTGACTTGAAACACCTTTAAATAGCAGTAGGGCAAAGGAAGGATTAAACCCAGAAAAGAAACCCCAGTAGGTCAGGAAATAAGATCTCTTTACACCGCTATGCCAACCTAAGCGCTAGCAGAAGCTGAAAGGGTGGTCCAACTCTCCGGCACCCTTTCCTTAACTTGTTCTTCTTCCCTTTCGTCTGCACTTACACTCATTCACCTGAGCCCGTAGTGAGCTGGTGCAGGGAGCTAAACACGGAGAAAAACATTCACATTTTAGTAGGGTTAGTTCCCTGCCCGCTTGGCTCAGCACAAGCAGTTACTACCCCTGGCACGCGGGAGAGGGCAGAGAGGTGCAAGCGGGGAGCAAGACCCCACCTTGCAGCAGCAGCAGTTGCAGCACCTCTGCTGCACTGGCAAACTGCGCCATGAGAAATAGCCTGCGTCACTCAGAAACAACCTCTACGAGCTGCAGTGACAGGCTCCAAGATTAATTTTTTTTTCCACACAGCAGGTGTAACAATAGCAATTATGACAATGGGTACAGAGCCAAAAAAAAGAAAAATCAGAGCAGAAAAATGTAGGTAAGACATCTAGGCTCCATCTAACATGCAGAAGTCCCCTGGAGAAGGAGGTGAAAAAGCAGAAAAAAACGAAACAAACAAAACACACACACAGAGAAAGTTTCACTTTCCAGCTTCCAACTGGAAGGTGTTGCTAAGAGCTATTGCAGACCACTCTGCTCCTGTGGCAGCTGAAGTGGACGGACCTCAGGTACAATTCATGTAACAATTCAAGCTTACACAGCACTTTGGGACCCCTCCTGATCAAAGCTGGCCTCTAGCCAGGTTGCAATGATTCTTTTGGGCAATATGTTAAAACCACCATCAGTATTTCTTTCTTCTCCTTTCTTTCCTACAAGTGCAAAAGGGGATGTTTTATTTTAAAACAAACAGATAGCTCCTTCTGTTGTAAGGGGATCCCTGAGAATATAAACTAAGTTGAAAGTTTTCAAGTAATGCATAAGTGATGACAGTTCCCTAAGACTGGCTCTTGGGGGCCAGTGAAACACATAATCCCAGGCATCACCGATCAGTTTATGTTTGGGGATCCAAATAGGTCATTGCTAAACAATTTCCAAACACTGATGCTAATTCTGAGTGAGGTGTCAACAGACAGAAGCTGCTAAATTAGGAAATCCATGCCTAGACATTAATTTTGAAGTGATCCAAAAACCTATGGTTTGATCTCTTAAAAACAGTTCACCCACTCTGTGTTGAACTTCCCTAGCTCCATTCTTCTACTTCTACAGCCACCTATTTATCTGCTAGATAAAACGGCAAACCTCAAAGTTCGAAATTCATGTCGCAGCTCCTAGTATCGCCATAAAACCATTGTCAAAATCATGAATTTCATAAAGTTTAGCGAGTTCAGACACCAGGAAGAAACACACTATTCAGCACAACGTGCATCTGGGTTTTTACTGTCTTCACTTTTGAGAGCTGAAGTCAATGTATTGCAGAGAGCAGGAAAGTTTCATTAGGTTTTGAGTGAAACGCTGAGACTTGGATCCTTTTCAAAACAAAAGCAGACTAAGGAAAAAAAAAAAGAAAAAAAAAAAAAGGAATTCCGGCATGCTGATGCCAGCAGAGGTCACCAGAAGAGCTAGAAGGTTTAAATCTTCCACTGCCACCACCTCATCCCCACACTACTGCCACTTGAGCTGAGATACGGGGTGCTCATCCCCTGCCTAACCCAGAGCTAGAGAGGAACAGGACACCTTTGGCAATGGGTTTGACCAACACTTGCCCTCTGCAAAGGATTACTGAGACACAGAAATAGGGTTTTTTCACCTAGGATCTGAATGAGAACACGGTTTAGCTGGCACAGATTCTTCTGTCCATCCCCACCCACCCACCTAACAACTACAACTGCTTCTGCCCGATGTCTTTGGGCTTGTTACAGCCTCCCGGCTCCCACAAGTGGGCTTTGCAAGTCACCGGCACCATCTCACCCCAGCTTTCTAAATGTGCTCTACCCCTCTGGATTCCCAGCCAACACCCTCTCCAAGAGCTATTCCCCTCATCTGACACCCATCTATTACTCCTAGGCCTAGCTCCCGGCTTCCCGCCTCCGTACCTCCTTGAGGGCTTTTTGTCCCGTAACACACGCGCGGCAAGCAGCTGGCTCAGCGTTGGGCAACTCGACTCTCTGTGCTCTGCCGAGAGAGAGCAGGTTCAGGGGAGTCAGCAAGAGCAAAGAGGAGCTGGATTCATTCGGTCTGGTGCCAAACCAAGGACGTGGCAGCTGACAGCCGTGGAGCGGGGAGAGTCCTGCCTAGTCCAAGGGCGATCGTGCTCAGCGTGAGTGGCACCTTTTGGACGCTAACTCCATGTTGCAAGTCCTTGATGCGCAAGTGCTAACTGCTGCTATTTTTCAAAGGGTTTAACACAGCCAGTCTGGGCAGATCGTCACGGGAACAGCAAAGGGTACATCCCCTATCCAAAGTCACCTTTCTGCACTAATGCATTTGGAATTTTTCCAGAAGTGACTGATATAGTGCATGTTTTTTTTTTCCTTCATCAGTCCAGGAGAGATCTCTGACTTGGAAAATTTCAGCCCAGAGAGTTTAAAGTTTGACAAAGACAAAAGAAAGGAAAAACAGCATTTGTTACACTCATCTTAATCCTAAATGGTCCTACCTCAACATCACCTGTAACTTGTGATATTAAAAACAATATAGTTAAAAAGCCCTCATGCAGCTATGTGCTACTGAAGAATCAACGTTATCCTAAAATACATTTCACTGTTCTGCACAGTAGGCTGACTCAGTTTTCCACCCCAATAACGCACAAAAAAATTCAGTCCAAAACTGTTTAACATGTACACCCCTTTGAGAAGAGGCCACTGCAAGCAAGGTCCTGTTGTTCTGCATAAACCATAGTTTTCATAAAAAGTGCCATAGATCTCTAATGTTTTTCAGTATCTCAAAACATTACACAACATATTTTGTGTTGAGTACTTCAGGCACTTGAAAGAAGGGAATTCAAAGCAGTGCTGTGAATACCTAAACAATAACATGTAGCATATATCTCCAGGATAAAGCAGGTCAAAGCTAAGTGTTCTTATATATGAACTAACTGATCCACAGACAAGACGAGTGTATCCTGTAGTTACACAGGATTAACGACTACAAGATGATGAAAGCAAACGAAAGCATGTGTACCCGGGATTACCAGTCTCTATGCTAATCAAGATGAACCTTACTCACTCATTCTCGAGCCATGCTAAGTACCTGAATTCCTATGGACTTAAGCCTTGAGGGGGCAGGCCTGTGTGGATTCTCTGACGTCTAATAAAAGGGTGAGCTCACGCTGAGGCCACTCTCAGTGGAGCAACAATGCGGCTTCTGTCAAGAAACCCATTCTCGCAGAGCCCGTGCTTCCGAGATCTAAACACTGTCATGTCCTACTGAAATGAAACGACGAATCTGAAAGTTATTACGGATAACAGCGACACAAACAAACTACTTCACGTGGGAGGAGAGTTGTTAGACCTGGGGCCATACTGGAGGTTTCTAAAGCTTAGAAATTCGAGGTATGAGAAGGAGTTGCTTCCCATCAACCAACCTCTGCACAAAAAAAAACAAAAAAAACCCAAAAAAACACCCTGCTTCTTTAAGGATCTCTGAACAGAGACCAAAGTGTCTCCGAGGGTCCGCTATTTCATCAGCGCCTCCTCGCCCAGTCGCAACAAATTCTTTGTAAGCGGTGAACACCGCTCATGCAACAACGCGACACCGCGAGACGCCCGAACGCGAGCGGGGCCCGGCGCGCCCAGCAGCCGTGCTGCTCGGCCTTCTCCTCGGGGCGCCCCGGGCCTGGCGCCTCGGCCGCGCTCCGCCAACGGCCCC